ATTTTTTGAGACAGGGTCTCACCATGTAGTTGAGACTGACCTGGACCTCACTATGTAGCTCAGGCTGGTCTTGAACTCACAGGATCCTCCTGCCTCTGCCTCCCAAGTGCTGGGATTACAGGTGTGCGCCACCAAGCCCGGCTTAAAAGCAATTTTCTTTGGCATCCTATCAAGGAAGCCCAAATGAAAATTAGGGGTCTTTTATTAAATCTAAGTTTTGGTTATGAAGGGCACTTCTGTATCACCTGATCCAGAGGGTGGCTGTTTTCAATTTCATGGGTATGCAGGAGTCATTTTTCTTCCCATTCTCAACTGTGGATGGTGGTTTTTTCCTTGTTAACAAGCTGATTGGGAGAAGATAATGTAAAATGGCCAGAATGTTTTGTCTCAGCCCTGTTGGCAAGGGTTGGAAAAGAGGCTAACAAATCGCATTTGGTTATTGAATTTAGTTTGGAATTAACCTACAGCTCAAGCCACACTCATTTTATATATTAGAAAAATAGACAAAAGTATTAGCTTTCTTCTTTTTAGCATTGTTATCATTTGGAGTTTTCTTTGTTTTTGTTTTTGTTCTTGTTTTCCCCCACTATGTAGTTGGGACTGACCTGGCACTCACTATGTAGTCCAGGCTGGTCTTGGAACTCACAGCGATTCTCCTGCCTCAGCCTCCCAAGTGCTGGGATTATAGGCGTGTGTCACCATGCATTTGGTTTTTGATTCATTATTTCTGAAGCTTTTCTAACTTCTAAATGTTTTATTTTAAGTTTGTTATTTCCTCAACTTGACGGTTTTCTGGGGCTTTTGGTAAAAATAAGTGGAGGGCCCGGGATTTAGCACATTGTTTCCACGGTGCCGCCTGCTTCACAAGTGCAAGGACCTGAGTTTGATACAAAAAAGTGGAAGTGGATTTTTCAAGAGTATTACAGTGGGTGGCACACGCCTTAATCCCAGCACTCTGAAGGCTTAGACAGGAGGATCACTGTGAGTTCACGGCCAGCCTGAACTGCAAAGTGAGACCCACTTTAAAAAAAAAATGAGTAGTACTTCTGAGTTGTTACTTAACATTTTGTAATTATTTTCTAGGATTTGCTTTTACCTGTGCACTATTTGGATGAATATTTTGGTGTCTTTTGTTACAGAGATGCATCGTGATTCCTGCCCACTGGACTGTAAGGTGTATGTAGGGAATCTTGGCAACAATGGCAACAAGACTGAGCTGGAACGGGCTTTCGGCTATTACGGACCACTGCGAAGTGTGTGGGTTGCTAGGAACCCTCCTGGCTTTGCTTTTGTTGAATTTGAGGATCCCCGAGATGCAGCTGATGCTGTCCGGGAGCTAGATGGAAGGTAATTTAATAACTAATGTGTGCTGGCAGTAAAATGTCTTGTCCGTGTCCCTCACCACACACACACACTCGCACACTCTCGCAGACTGTGCAGCCCAGGCTAGCCCAGAATTCATTTTCCTCCTGCCTCAGCTTTCCAGGTACTGGGATTGCAGATGTATGTCACGCCCCTGGCCTGTCTTTTATAAATACTGAATTTTTTAAAAAGTTACGGGCTTTTTTTGTTTGAGACAGGGTCTCACTATGTAGTTGAGACTGACCTGGAACACACTGTGTAGCTCGGGCTGGGCTTGAACTCACAGCGATCCTCCTGCCTCAGCCTCCTGAGTGCTGGGATTACAGTTGTGTGCCACCACACCTGGCCTTACAGAGCTTTTTTATAGGCAGCTTTATGAAGTTTTTGGAAACCACTAAGGGAGCTGGGCATGGTGATGCCTGTCTGCAATCTTAGCACTTCAGAGGCTGAGACAGGAAGCTGCAAGTTTAAGGCCAGACCAAACTACATAAGGAGACCCTGTCTCAAAACAAAACAAAACAAAAAACAAAGAAAAGAAAATAAAAATACCAGATTTTGACTTGCTCTACCTTTTCCTGGCTTTGAAAATTACTGAGTTATAAAACCAAAGAAATTTGTTAGCTTAGAAGGTCCAAAAATAAAATTCTCCTTCAGAATTTGTGGAGTAAATCACAGTGCCTTGAGTGAAGCCCTGTTCTCCTTGCCTGCAAAAGGAAGAATAGTTGGCTCCTACAGCTCTAAAGCTGTATGAAAGGCTGTTCACGTAGGCAAGTTGCAGCAAGTCTGCGCGACCTGCCTTCCCTGGTTCTGGTGGCTCATCTAAACATGATTGTGGGCGAAGGCAGGGGAGGCTGTGTCTGCCTGTAATTTTCTATGCACCAAAACTTCTGTGATTGAGGGGAGAGGTAATATAAATGGGCAGAATGTCCTGTGTTACTGAAAACGACTGATAAATTAAAGCATAGTAAGTAGCAAATAAATGTCGCAACCTGCCTCTTAAGAAATTCATACAGGAAAACTTGTTCTTTAAAAATAAATCCAGGGGTCTTCACACATAACTTTGCACATTATCATTGAACTCAATAGTTTAGATTGTTCCAAGTGAGGAAATAAATTGAAGTGAGTTTCTTGTGAATTAGTACTTTTATAAAAATGCCATTTGAGGGCTGGGGATTTAGCTCTGTGGTTCCGCCACCTGCTCTGCAAGGGCACGGTCTGGAGTTCAATCCCCGGAACCAAAAAAAAGTGCCATTTGATGTATCTTGAGGGCTGGGGATTCAACTCAGTGGTGCTGTGCATGCCTCGCAAGTGCAAGGTCCCAAGTTTGATCCCTGGTACTGGGGACAGCACCATTTGATAATATTTAATTTGAATTAATCTAATTTTACATGTCAGATACAAGGAAATTTAAATTTGTATTAAATGTTGTGCCAACTTGTAGTTGTGTTCTTTGCAAAGTGCCTTATCCGTGGCTTTTTCCAGGAAAGTTGTCTGTTTTCAATGTAACGCCTCTTTCCCCCACAGAACATTGTGTGGCTGCCGAGTCCGGGTGGAACTGTCCAATGGAGAAAAAAGAAGTCGAAATCGTGGCCCTCCTCCTTCTTGGGGTCGTCGCCCACGAGATGATTACCGCAGGAGGAGTCCTCCCCCTCGCCGCAGGTACTTGGGAGAGCGTGTTTGAGAGGTGCTGGTGGAATGGAGTAGTAGTAGGAGCAGGTGTTTCTCCTAAAGTTCGTTGGTGGGTTTTAAACTCGGAAGAATCAGAGGTTTCTACAGAACTGGCTGGGCATAGTTTGGGGTATGTGAGTTGTGCTGAGTGTTGGCTTTTGTCTGTAGGTCACTGTTCATGTTGGTAGCTAGTAACTTCTGTCTTGGATCTATCTTCTAGTTCATCTTCTAGTTGCATCTTTCCCCGTCTTCCCTTATACTTCAGTTTAGGCCTTTTTCATTTCTTGACTCCATTATAACAAACATTACATTCAACTCTAGCTCTTCACAAAAATGTTGTTTTCTATTAGCGCAAATGTAATATTGATCGAACTGGCAGCTGTTTTAATGTTACAACTGGTAAAGTAGAAATTCTGAAACTAAAGTCACTGACCTATAAAAGGGGACTAAGAAAAGCAGTAACCCCAGTCATCTGTTCTTCAATCCCAAATAGGAGAGAATTCAGTTTTTTTTGTAATTGAAAGTGACATCATTCTTGGACCAGGCAGTATTGTCTGGGTGCTAACTCCACATCTCCTCAAACCCTGCAAAATATAGTTTCTGTAGGACTGAATTTACCTCTTACAGGTGGGAAAAGTCCTAGGAGATGAGTTCAAAATCTTGCCCGTTTTGCTGTTTTGAAAAACAACACACTGTTGCCCATCATAATAAAGAGTATTTGTTAGCTAAATAGATGGTTGTACTGATGGCTTGTTTTTTTTTTTCATTTTTTTTTGTGCTTTTTGGTCCATCTATTAATAAAAATGAACCCCGTTACAGAGTCACCATCATGTCTCTTCTCACCACCCTCTGAATCTGCATTAGCCAGTCAACTAGCCCTTTCAGCGTCATGTGACCAGCGCGCCCCATTCAGCTTGGCTGGTGTCGTTTCACATGACCCAGGCTGGCCAGTCGTCAGGTTGCACCGCCCTTTGGTTCCCGAGCATGCTGTTTTCTCTCAGCCTTCTCTCCAACCTTAACCAAATCGGCAGCAGCCACCTCGACCGCCCACACATTCCTGGCCAATCAGCTCAGCTGTTTATTTACCAAATGTCTTCACAACAACTACAGCAGCAGCCTTCGGCTAACAAAAAAGCAGGAAAAATCCACAACACCCCCTTCGCCAACCAACTAAATCCAACGCAACATCTGGCAAAACCTTTTCAGCAAATTCTTCCTGGCCGTCAGTCCGGCAGCCTCACCTCACCATTTCTAGCTTGTTGAAACCCAAAACTAGTAAGTTTTTCCTGCTTATACAGTTTACTGCTGGTTAAAATAAGGAGTAAGCGGCTTAAAAGTAATTCTTTTTCTGGATCAAAGGCTGGCTGTGCATAATTGAATGGTAACGTACATATATATTGCTTGAAAAACTTTTAAGGGTGATAGGGAACTCATAATGTAACGGTCTTCAAGTGAAACTTATTTGCATGTGTGAGATGCCAAACTAAAAATTTTAATCTCTAACAGATTTTAGCTTTTTTTTCCAGAAATTTATCAAATCCTATCACCTTTAAATGGTTTTACTAACAGTTTTCAAAATTTTGGGGGAGAAGTGTGGGCCAAGCTAAGGTAATTTTGATAAGTCTAAACACACTCTTAAATGGGACGTCACAAATACAGTTCTAATGTAGCACTAAATGGCATCAGTATTGACCCCTACCGCATTTTCACAAAATTACACTATCCACCTAGTACCTAAGTCTTGTTACAGACTTACAGGTTTGCATGGGTTCCAAATACCGGTTTATGGTACTGTTTTTGGAACTACTTGTGGGACTACATTTTGGTGTGGTGTTTGGGTAGTGCAGTTAAGTTTGACATGAAGTTTTGCATTGGACAGATCTGCTGTGAAGCATTCTTTGTTAAAATGAATCCATGGTTGGAATACCTGCTTTTCACTTGAGCTTTTGTTCCTTAATCCTTCTGTGCCCTTTTTTTCTTTTCTTTTTTATTTTTGGACGATGGGTGCCAGTTCTTCAGCACGTTCACTGGGCCCAACAGTGAGATTGAAAAGTTGGGAATTGCCTCACACCATAAATGCTAATTGATGATTAGCCTAATTTTCTCGTTTCTGCTTTTAGATCTCCACGGAGGAGAAGTTTTTCTCGCAGCCGGAGCAGGTAAATACAGTTTTGGGGCCACTTTCTCAGAAATACCAGTGACAGATAACTCCTGAGCTATTTCCTAAATGGTGTGATCAGTGGCAGTCGTGAATCCAGTGGTGTAATAAGGCCAGGGCTGAAGTGCAGGGTGGCCAGCTTTGAGGTTTCAAAGACTTTAAAATATCTTTGTGAGGTCTAATAGCTGAGTTGTCCTGACATTCTTTCTCTTTGGTTTAGGTCTCTTTCTAGAGATCGGAGGAGAGAGAGATCCCTGTCTAGGGAGAGAAATCACAAGCCGTCCCGGTCCTTCTCTAGGTCTCGCAGGTAAGGTCTTCAATCAGAGCTGGTTAAGACCTTCTGTGTACATTGTCTTTTAAGCTGTAACTTTGTTGATGTCGCTGAGTGGCCCCGAATAACAAAATTTTACTCATTTCTTTTGTTAGCCGATCTAGGTCAAATGAAAGGAAATAGAAGACCAGTTTGCAAGAGAAGTGGTGTACAGAAATTAACTTCATTCGACGGGAGTATGTACAGAAAATTCAAGTTTTGTTTGAGACTTCATAAGCTTGGTGCATTTTTAAGATGTTTTAGCTGTTCACCTTTGTCTCTTGGAAGTGACACAAGGATGTAATTCTCTATGGTTTGAGATGGATCATATGAGGCATGTAATACCAAGAATTGTTACTTTACAATGTTCCCTTAAGCAAAATTAAATTTGCTTTGAACTTTAGTTTTGCACAGATGGAAAATAAATCTCTAAATTCTACCCAGCTAAAGTGTGATGTTCTAACGTTACAGAAACAGACTTGTTTCACAGCTGGGATGATAGTGTGCAGCTGTAGGTAAACGTAGGCTCAAAGCAGCTGTGAACATGCCAGCAGGTACAGATAAAGGCCACGCCTGGAGCTAGGCGAGAGTTGGTTTAAAACGGAACTGTGTTTACCCTGGGCAGAGTTTGCCTGGTTGGTATAGAATCAGATAAATTTCAAGAAAGTTTAACCTTTGCCTTGGTCACACGCTCGTTATGTGATGCTGTATATGAGGACATAGCTGTTTGAGATATTATTTGAAACCTGAGATTTCAAAGTAGCAATGTCCTGCCAGTTTAAGGGTACATTGTAGAGCTGAACTTTGCTTTACTGTGCAAGATTTTTTTCATGCTGTCATTTGTAATATGTTTTGTGAGACTCTTTGGGATTAAAGTTTTGGTTACAAATTGTTATTTAATTTGGAAGCCTGTTTTTCCTTGCAAACTTAAAATATATAAGCTTGGTACCAAGTCCAGGTATATATAACATTCCTATTAGAAGCCATACTTATATTTTCTTGTAAAGTGCTTTTGAATTAATAAAATAGCATACCTGTGAGTCAGTTGAACCCATTGTTAGCATTGTTCCATCCCGTGGAGTGCAGTTGGTTACACAATCCTGAGTTTACAAGAAACATCTGACAGGCACGGTGGATTAGTCTAACATGAAGGAAGTTTTGGTTATCTAAGTGATGATTAGTAGTTACCCAGTTTTTAGGAAATTGAAGCCATTTCGGGATCCATCATACTCAGTAACTGACGTTTTAAAGTAATCAGCAACCTGGTATATTGTAACCCACATGAAGCTGCCCATAAAAAATGGTTTTTATCTTTAGCATGAAAATTCTCCACAGTTTAAAAATTTGCTTCCATTTTATGATTTGAGATGTTGCATGGGAATTCCAAGCTGATCCTTCGTGTAAAATTTCACAATACTGGTTCAAATGTAATGGTGCAGAATGGAATGTGGAGGCATGTAAACCTTCCTCTTAGAAACCTGGAAGAGTTGTAATTTCAAATTTTTGTGCAATTAGATTAAATCATAATGCAACAGTCTCCTGGCTTAGTTTCCTTAAATGTGCTCCATAGCTTGGATCTGCTGTGTTGACTGTCGTTAAAATGAAAGCTAAGCCATCGCATTGAGTTGGATGTAAGGATGAGACACTGTAGGACCTAGAACAGGTATTTCCAGTTGTCCTGTTAACCCTCTGCACAGATCTCACCAAGAGAGTTGGCGTTGGTGTGAGTCTTCACAGTCGTACGTTTTCAGGGAAAACTTTGCTTTAGAGCCTCCTGTTGGTTCCCTGGGACGTCCCGATTTGGACCTTTTGTCCTTTGCCATTTCCCCAGGGTCTAAAGCACCCTGTTGGTTCCAGCCGGGGTGTCGAGGGAGTTGAAGTGAGGTGTGAGCTGTTGACACTGCTCTTGGAAATGTGCACAGGGTTTGAGTCAGAACCTGAGAGGAAGTTGGGCTTGTGGCCCTGATGTGGGCGACTAACGCTCCGTTGGTGATCACCTTGACTAGAGTCCCTGGTGTAATTTTATTTATTACGGTTTGGAAAAGCATGGGGTGTGGAGATGGTTAACGCCTTTACTGACGTTAGGTGGTGGTGGTCAGCCCAGCCTTGCCCATTCGGAGTGGAGTGGGACAGGAAAGGAGCCCTGCCTGGGGTGCAGCGGCCGTCGGAGTATCTGAACACCGCCGGTTCATGCTTTGTGGTTGGGTCTCCGGCTCAGTTTATCAGCACATCTGACCTGCATGTGTTAAGCAAAAGGTTATGACGTTATAAGTTGGAGTGTTTAAGCGTCTTACAGGACCTGCCACAGCCATGCAGTGCATTGATGCAGTCTGATGGTTCTCACCCAAGCATAGGAGACATCCTGACTGCTGCTTATTTTTATAACTAGGGTTCCGGTTCACTTTGGTACCGTGCTTTTTAGTTAGGAGTTACATTGGAATCTTGACCAAGATTTAGTTGTCAGACCTACTTGGTTATCTATCTCTTCAGTTGTGTATTTTTGTTCTGCCAGGCCCGTTGCCTTCTGCTTTCTTGTTTTGTTTTTGACAGCGTGATAGATTTTTACAATTAAAGTAGCTGAAGAAAAACTGGTTGGAGTGTTGTACTCTAACCTAGGCAACCTGGGACGTTAGATTGGTTTCATCTGTTTTACTAGGAGTCCCTGAGCACCTGGAAATGACTGCCTGTAGCCCCCTTGAGGCTCTGAGGAGGTGCCTGAAAGTAGCTTTGCACCTGGCGCTGCTGAGCTGCAGCCGTCCTAGTGCGGTAGGCGGGTCAGAGAGTAGCGTGCTGGGTGGACTGGACACAGCAGTAGCTAGGAATACGTCTCCACCCAGCCCAGGAAACGGGAGCCCAGGTTTTCCTGCAGAGTTTCAGAGGGCCAGGGTGTAGCTCAGCAGTGCGGTACCTGCCCTGAGTTTGGTTCCCACTACCAATAATAAAGAGCCTCCCCAACCAGCCAAGTAAGTCTTAGGAAAGGGCTGGCCGGCTGTGGTGGGACAGGCTGGTAATCCCAGCGCTGGGCAGGCTGAGGCGGGAGGATCGTCACAAGCTCCAGGCCTCTTCCCTGAACTGCACGGCAGGTCCCTGTCTCAGAAGGAAAAAAGTGCCAAATGGTCATTTACTGTAAGTGAACAAACACTGGTTTTAGTGTAAGCAAATTAATATCCGCTAAATACTTCATAATACTGGGTTTGTGAGATATGGGGAGTTTGTTTTAGTTTGTGGAGCAAAATTGAGCCCCTCTGCTGTGGATTTATCTCAGTGGCTCTGCCGCCTGCCTCGAAAGCACAAGGACCCGTTTGATCCCTGGTACCAAAAAAAGAAAAAAAATTGAGCCCCCAGAAAAGCTAGAGACCTTGGCGACTTGAATTTCTCCCCCTTTGTAAAGTCCTGACTGATTGAGCTGTGTGAGCTGTGGAACTTTGCGGTGTGTGGGGTCCACAGTCTCAGTGCTGGCTGGGGTGACGTCGCTGGGGTTGTAGGGTCGCTGTTCCGATGGACTGGCCTGGGACGAACTTGGGACCATCCACCCTCCTCAGTCCCCCAAGTGCTGGGATCGGGGGTGTGCGCCTCACGGTGGCCACTGTTCCTAAAGCATAACCCTTGGGAAACAACCCTTGTACTGTGTACCTAAAATGCACCAATAACTGAATGGAAAAAAATTTCAGGCCCCTGGAACAGTGCCGCCAGAATTACGTGAGTAGATGAAAAACCGGGTAAGTCTTCAGTGGGCACGAATTGGAGAGAGAGTCGGTCCTGTCGCTGGCCTTCCACGAATCAGACGGCGCACAGCCGAACCGCGGGGCCTGGGCCGCCTGCTGAGTCGGAGCTGCTCCGCAGCCCTGGGGAAGCCGGGCACAGACAGCTCGGGGCCTCCCAGCCCTGCAGGCCTGCTGCGGGGAGGGTCCCAGGGTCCCGCTCTGCCTTCTGAGGAGCCCTGGCCCAGGCAGGTGCTGGTGCTGGTTTTGTGCGCTCCAGGGGCCTCCCCCTGCGTCCGGCAGGTGTTTGGAGAACCCGAGCGCCGGCAGGGTCAGAGGGTGGAGTGGTCAGCGATGCTGCAATCCCAGCGCTGGGGTTCTTTTCTGTGCATTCAGAGCCCCGGCGGATGTGCACACCCGAGACCCCGGCACTCATCCGTGTCCAGCCCGGCCGCGCCTCCCCTGCCAGGGGAGCGGCCTGTGGGCAGAGTCGTCACCGTCCTGCTGGCTTTGCATCTTTAGCTCTGAACCGTGCGTCCCAGACACTGCATCCACAAGTTACCGGTGTAGATTTTACTCCGGTTCTTTTGAGACCGGGTCTCCCTGTGCAGCCCAGGCTGGCCTCCAGCTCGGGGATCCTCCTGCCTGGCCGCCCAGTGCTGGGATTGGAGGGGAGGACTTTGAGAGAAGCCCTAAATCCAGGGGTGCCGTCGCTGTACCCCTGGTTAGCTCTGCTTTGGTTTCTCACCTTGGCCTCAGCGGCATCCCGGCCACTCCGTCCTCTCGGCAGACCGAGCGCTCTGGACCTGCAGATCGGGGAGCCCTTTGTATGGCCGCCTCGCTCCTGAGTTGGACCCCTCATGTCCCGCGAGCGCGGCCTTTCTGAGCTGGGTCGCCCTTGCTGTCTCCCGGGCCACCCCGGGGCCGTGGGTTTGGTGGGGAGTAAACCCGCGGTGTGGCTCGGCTTCCCGGAGGAGGCTGCGGGGAAGTGCAGTTCCCCACGGAACCGGCGGGGGCTGAGTGACACCGGGGCCAGGCTCTCTGAACCCTGCGCCCCCCAGAGCCTGGCTGCCTGCCGGCCCGTCCTGGCAGATAAAGCCTAAAGCTGCAGGTAGACGGCGAACCGCTGGGCCACGGGAGGGGTCCCACGCGCGCTCACAATGGGGCAGGCGACGGGCTGGCCCGGGGGCCCGTGCCAGGACTCAGAGATGAACCTGCTCTTTTCCCTCTTTTGAGAAAGACATTCCTGTTAATTCCTTATTAGGAGATGTTTCTTATCACGGTATGATTAGCTTTTTGCTTTTTTTTTTATTTTGCAGTGCTGGGGATCAAACCCAAGTTCTCACACAGAGCTACACTCCAGCCCCTAAAATTACTTAATGGGGGGGGGGGAAACTTTTTACTGAGAAACACTGTTTAAAAGGAAGTTTGTGCTCCATGTTAGTGACACAGGTCCCTAATCCCAGCTACTTGGGAGGCCGAGGCAGCCTGGGCAATTTAGCAAGACCCTGTCTCAAAAATAATGTGTGACTTTTTTAAACAAGTCCGTTTGCTCAGTTGTAGAGCTTGCCTAGCATGCACAAGGCCTCGGTTCCATGCTCAGTGTCACAGGGAAAAGCAAGTCCCTGCACGGAAGCCCTCCTGGCTGCCTGCAGTGAGCTCCCAGGACCTCCACCAGCCAGGCATGGTGCTCTGGGCCCCGGGGCCGGCAGATGCCAGCGGCCCTGCACTGCTGCCCTGCCTGTAGGCTGCACATGTGCTGTCAGCCCACTGTCCTCTCCTTGAACGGTCCACTCTTCTCTCGGTTTTCTTTTTGGGGGTGGGGTTTGGAGACAGAGTCTCACTATGTAGTTCAGACTGCCCTGGAACTCACTGTGTAGCCCAGGCTGGCCATGAACACAGCGATCCTCCTGCCTCAGCCTCCCAAGTGCTGGGATTACAGGCGTGCGTCACCACGCCCAGCTGTGTTTTCTTCTGCTCTTTCCTGCTTTCCTGGCGGTGGTGGGGTTGTGAGGAAACATTTCTGTTGTTGCCTAACAGATGCAAACACGGTTTGTTTCAGCATCTAAAGTACATCGACTGCCCTGTTGAAATCTGACTTTGAGCTGAACCAAGGCCAAATGGATTGTGGGTGAATTGTTCCCCAAAATCTATTACAGTCAGCAAGAGGAGTGCCAAAGCAGCCTCCCTAAGTCACTGAGTTGCCCAGGCTGAGTGCTGGATCACAGGTGTGCACGGCCACACCTCCTCACTTCCGTGTCACTGATGGAGCGTGTCAGGGAACTCCGAGGCGCTCGCACCTCTCCCGACCCAGCACAGGAATAACGGAATAACGTTCAGAAAGGGCGGCCTGAGGACGCCACGCAGGCAGGGCTGGGTGGGAGCCGAGGGAGGGCCGTGGAGGGGACTGGAGCGACTACGGGTGAAGGTCCGTGGGCACGGGGGCCAGCGAGGACAGCAGCACCGCCTGGGAATGGGGTGAAGCTGCTGTGCCGAGGGAAGATGCGGGGGAGCCCCGGTCCACCGGTCTCCGGACGCAGGTGTGGGACGAGGGTCC